AGATACAATTGAAGATTTATACCTATATCCTGCAGTAATTTTTTTTCTTTCTTTCTATTTTATACTGGGGGTTGAACCCAAGGATGCTTAACTATTGAGCCATATCCCAGCCTTTTTTTATTATTTTTTTTAAATTTCTATTTAGAGACAGGGTCTAAATTGCTTAAGGCCTCGAGAAGTTGGTAAGGCTGCCTTTGAACTTGTGATTATCAACTGAAAGATTTATTTCAGTTTATGATTCAGCTACCTTGTGAGAATGTAGACAATATCAGGGCCATCATTACAGATATGAAACTGTTGATAAAATATTTTAGGGCTTCTCAAAAGTTTGGTAAAAAGTTGATTGATAGGTATATAAATTGATTGATTAGTTTTGCCTTCATAGAGAAAATGTCATTGTAATTGTGTGAGGACTACATTTTACCTGTATAGATTTCCCCAAAACTCTATGCTTGTGTGTGTGTATTTTAGTTGTAGGTAGGCAAAATACCTTTATTTTATTTTTATGTGGTGCTGAGGATCGAACCCAGGGCCTTACACATGCTCACTCTACCGATGAGCTACAGCCACAGTCTCCTGTGCTTGCTTTTAAATATAAAGAGAATGCCATACCCCAGCACTTTTAAAAATTTATTCTAATTAGTTATACATGACAGCAAAATGCATTTTGACACATTGTACACAAACAGAATACAACTTCTGGCTGTACAGAGTCATCCCAGCACTTTTAAATGTTCTCTTTTCTTCTGAGTGGTTTGTAAAGTTCTTTTGCCTTTGCAGCTTATGAAATTAATTGATGGATGTCCAAGGATCTTTGGTTCTGAACTACAGTTCCCTTTCTATGTCTGTTAATCTTTTTATTTTAGAAAATTTTAAACTATGTTTTCTAATTGTAGTATTTACTTTAGGTCCAGTAAGATCCCGCCCATTATAAGTGAGCTATGGTAGCTGTGCTTCATTAATGAATATTTGTTTCTTTTAAAGGTAGAAGATTGTTGAATACTTCATTATCACAGCATTTTGCTGAGTTTTCAGTATATATGAATGTATCATGAGAACAATTTTTATAAAATGTATTTTGCTTCCCTTTTTTGTTGCTATAGAATAACAATATTCATCCTGTAAAATGTATAATAAAACACCAGCAAGAAGTGAAGATTTATTTTCCCATCAAGCTTACACCTAACTTTTTGGCATTTCCTCATCATCCTCTGGGCATGTTGTATCGTTATAAAGTACAGGTATCGTATATTATAACATAAGAAATCAGAAAGAGATAAGTCAGCTTCTCTGATAGATTAACTTAATTGAAATTTGGTTAATGTTATATTTCATTTCCCCTAACAATCAGTCTTTCTTTCTTTCTTCCTTCCTTTCTTTTCTTTTCTTTTCTTTCTTTCTTTCAGTTGAATCCAGGGGCACTCAACCACTGAGCCACATTCCCAGCACTTTTTTTTAATATTTATTTTTTAGTTTTAGGTGGACACAATATCTTTATGTGGTGCTGAGAATCGAACCCAATGCCTCATGCATGCTAGGCAAGAGCACTTAGAATGCATGAGGCACTGGGTTCAATTAGTATGCACCCAGCCCCCCCCAGCACTTTTTTATTAGAGCCAGAGTCTTGCTGAGTTGCTAAGTGCCTCACTAAGGTTCTGAGGATGGCTTTGAACTCACGATCCTCCTGCCTCTGCCTCCTGAGCTGCTGGGATTATAGGTGTGTGCCACTGTACCCGGCCCCACAATCTTT